TGCTGCTTCTGTAGATGGGAGCCTGCTTCTCTAAAGTCTTCAATGGCTGCCCTCTAAAAATCAACTGCGCCGTCACCTGGATTTTTCCCAAAACAAGAGGTCAGTGGTTTGGTCTATTGTTCTATTTTTACTTCATAGTGGAGTAATGAGAGCCTTTTCTCAGAAATCTCACAGCAGCAGGTTTATAACAGGTTTATATTAATGTGAGGAGACAGTTCATTTATGCAAGGTACAATGAAAAGGAGACTTCTTGTTTGAAAGGAAAGCTGTAACTGGTTTAAATGTGGCTGTGTTCTCTTTAAGATGGTCTTGTTGTGCAGAGATGCTCTTTGTTGCGTGGGCACGTCCTTCAATGTGACACAATGAATGTGATTTGGCACTGTAGTGGCCAGGTGCCTGCACACAGCATGGGTCATGTGCGTGCTGTTGCCTGACATTGTAGCACAAAGAGGCACTTTTAATGGGGATAGCAGCCAAAGTGAAAGCAGGTCTGGTGCCTGAACCTTGTGATGCGATGGTAATGGTGTCTGTGTTTGGTGCTGATGGAAACTTCTTTATATAAACACTTTTCCTACTTAGATCAGTATCTTATTCTTGGGGCAGAAGAAGGCATCTACACACTGAACCTTAATGAACTTCATGAAGATACATTAGAGAAGGTAAGATCGTAATTCTCTCTCTATTTGCAAAGCACCAGAGGAAAGTCAGCAAAGCAAAACCAAGGCTTTAACTTTAGCTGTCCACAAAATTAGCCAACAACAAAACAGGATCCCAAAATGAGCACAGAGGCAGGAGCTATGTGTGGAAGACATGCTACATGCTACAAAACAGGGATTAGAACAAAGATGAACAGATGGGGATCAAGGTACGGGCTAAAATGATTGGACACAGATGACGGCGATGAGAGGAAAAGGAGGGAAGAAGGACAAAAACACGACACACCAGAAAGCTGAGCAACACATAGACGAGACAGAGGTCAGACAGGGGAAACATCAGGGCTACTAGTAACACAAGAACATTAGAAACATGAAGGAAAGTCAGCTAAGACTAATACTTTCACAAATTCTTATACTGAAATGGGTCAAAGGTCAAGTGGCTATATTCCTAAGATGCTCGACTATCCGTGCACAGACGTGCAGGAGGAATAACTCAGTTCAGAGCAGGTTAGATCTGCAGCATAAGATACTATGACAATATAACCCCAGTAAGGAGCGACCTCCTTAAAACCAGTCTATGCTTAACACTGCAATAACACTGCAAACCCTAAATCTGGCAAACTTCTCCCGATGTTTCCACTGAAGGGGTTGGCAGTTAAAAAGCGCTGAAGGTTAGGTTTGGAGTAAATCATGGATGTGTGCACGTGAGTGTGTGCATGTGTGTGCACGTGTTTGTGTGCAGCTTGTAGTGCAAACGTGTGTGCAGAATTCATGCAGACATGTGTAACTGGTCGTTTTGAGGTAGAAAAGGGTGACGTGCGGTTAAGCTGGTAGTTGAAAGTGTCAGTCAGAGTAGAAGAGCATTGTGTAAAAAT